TCGGTTCGCGCTGTGCGTCCGATTTTCTGTCGCCGAATTCTCGAATTGATCAACGTTCGTTCGTATACTCCGCCTCGCTGCATTCGCGTCGATGATATTCGCCAGAGGCGCGTTTAGAATTTTATACAGGCGAGAAACACGTGCGACTATACATGTGGCATACAAGTCGCACGTGTTGTTTCTTTCAGTTTCTTCTTCTAACTGTTCTCACTCTTTCTTTCTCTAAAAGTGTATTGTTTTCATTACTGTTTAACGCGTGCGAAAGGGAACACAATCAGGCGTAAATTCCAAATAGGAGTTCCCATTCGTTGCATTACTCCTAATTAGTTTCATCAGTTTGGGGAACTCAGACACGACATTTCCCAATCGAGCCGGAAGAAATGAAAACTCTTTCTTACGAGGAGTAATAAAAAAAAAAGAGGAGAAGACTTTCCCGCTGTTTGAGTTCGCGCTATTTAAATGTTCGAGTTATTTTCAGAAATATATTACTCGGATAACGGCGACCGACTGTATTGAAATATAATTACCAGCGGAAAGTATTTGAGAAATTTAGCATGTCCTTTAATTTGCGAGCTCCAATCAGCCCGTTAATTTACCACACATTTGTTAAATTGAATTATGTATATTCGGTTTATAATTACATACGTTCGTGCGTATGCACATGGCAAATTAATATTATATATACGTACACACATTTAGTTTACACATGCGTAACAACAAAATTTATACACATGACCTATATGATCCTGAAATTATGTTCTTTAATTGTCGTGCTAATTTTAAGCGACTAATGCCTCCGCTCTTTATCCGAACTGCCACCGTTCCCGTCATTTTTCCAACTGTCGACGGAATTAGTGACCTCGAAGCTCATTCTGCTTCCTTGGTCGGCAATTACGTGCACAACGATCGTGGGGGAAGTTTCCGTTAAGGGAAATGGGTATTCTCTCAGGACTATCCCCGCGTTGATAATAGGACTTTTCAATGGAATCCTTAATGATTGTTCCTCGTTATTCCGATCCGTTTCATCCTCCCTCTCTCTCTCTCTCTCTCTCTCTCTCTCCTCCCCCCCCCTCTCCCTCTCTCTCTTCCTTTTTCGATTTTGTCTCTGTTGGAAATTTCTTTCACTTTCATCCTTACAATAAGTCATATCAGTACCAGAATGTTTCTTTAATATCGAGCTTTATAGGTCAATTTGATTGGATTTTTGTTTAATTCCACGAGATTGCCGTTTAAGAGATAAAATTTGCGTGATTCCGAAAATTGCGTTGATTCGTCAGATTTCGTTTCTAGAGATACACGCCGTGAAACATTATTCTGTGTAACCAACTTTCAATGCAATAAACTCAGATTTAAAGTCCCGACGAAATTCGTTGTAAGATTCGTCTATGATTTATTCATCAATGCACGACGCGTTTTCGAAGGACGACTCCCTCCCTCGCTCTTTGTGGACTCAATATTACGCCCGAGTGCGAGTTCTCGCGCACCCATCGAAGTTGAAAGTTCTTCCCTTTAATGTTACAATCGTACCCGAACGCGAGTATCCCGCTATTGTGCTAAGAAAGGCGGTGAACAGACGCCGAAGAATTTCGATTCTACTCATCGCGTTGTGCTTACGTCGTGAGCTTTTTACAATATCTCACTTTTATGAATAAGAATGCAGCCCACGCGAAGCATATCTTCCAGGGCGATGGAACTTACTCCGGAGGCTTGTGGAGAGAGAGTTCACCTAAACCCTTTTAAAACTTCAAGACCTGCGCTCTCGCGCACCCTCTTCTCCACTTGTCCCTCCTTTCCCCTCTTCTGAAAATCCCTAGCGAAACTTAAATTCAAATCTCGGCGATACCGCGCCATGCTCGCTCTCTCTCTCTCTCTCTCTCTCTCTCTCTCTCTCTCTCTCTCTCTCTCTCTCTCTCGACGCGGCTTAGCTCCTCTTAAATTTCCAGATAGCGGGGCTAAACCAGGCCCGAACGCATGTATATGAGCATCCGCTCTCATTACAGGTTTGCAGACTACATGTTGAATGTATTGCGATTTAGAGGACATCGTACGATTGCGCAATCGTTGCAGCAACCCGACAAGAGCAATAATCTTAATTGAATCTTATTATGACCGTATATATACGTATATATTGGGTTTTGCCCATATCAATATGTTGTACATTACAGAGAGATAAAAGTCTATTACGGAACATTCTGCGAGACATGTGTTCGGTTTGATGTTATTTTCCATCTGCAGCGAGTTTTTTACTTTTTAGCGACTCGTGTTTGTTTATCTTCGCAGAAAGTGCTGAAAATTGCTTTGTAGGCGTAATGCTTTGTATTTCGATCATCCTGATTCCTTCGACGTACTGGAACACTATTCTGATTTGCTGAAGATCTCGATGGTAGAGAATCGAGTGAAGTAAATTATAGTACCTTAGTATCTTCCGAAAGGAATTACTGTTACAACACGAAACTCGCTGGAACTCGGAAATAGGATCAAATCGGATATATGTTTCCAAGAACTTGTTCTGCCGTTTCCAAATGCTGGATCCATCCACATGGCATATATTCAAGTTAATATTATACATGAATGTATGGATATATCGTGTTACATCCCACATATATAATAATATGATATAACATTAATAAATATTTAAATATTTTTGTTATCGTCAGAAACTCTCTTTTATTTATCGTAGTGGAGAAATGTGGAGAATATGTCCGTCATGACAAAGCGTGAGAAATTAACGTAAAACTTCCAAAACCAGATTTTGCAAAAGGAAAAAGACGATTTCTCGAGTCGGTGGAAAAATCTGTGACTGAAAACTTGAAATATCTTGCACGAGCGGATTTTATATCTTCAGCACTGAGTAGACGACGTCCGCGACGTCGGAATAGGAAAATCTTAATCGGACGTCAGAAGGGAGCCGAATACGTCGACTCCTTTCTATATACATATATATATATATATATATCGGTATATCGATACCGCCGAGCACGCGTGCCGCGGCGTAATGCATGGGAGACACGCTCGGCGGCAATAAGATAAGTTCGGCGAGCTGTTTTCCAAGTGGGTTTTCTTGTTCCACTCCCGATATCTCACATATGTGAGCGCAAAAGCTCGCGCGCGCGCGCGCGCATACCGAGTATACGTGGCATGATTTAATCGTGCGCATGACTTCGCGCTATACCTATACGTAGCCACGAAAACATTGCGGGAAATATATTTAATCGCAACAAACGGGAACACTCGCGCGACAGCGGCGTCTGAATTACGAATCGCGCCTCTCGTTTATCGTCTCTACGAGCATTTTTTATCTCGCGGAATGTTTATTCGTACCGTTATATAGAAATACTCGAGGACGTTTCTTTATGAAGTTTCCCCATGAAAATTTGTAACATGTATCTTTACTCTAAAACAACAATTACTTTATTATCCATATATAATCTATATTATTAAAAAATATACATATATAAAATTTCTTTTTTCTTAGCACACTGACAATATTTTCGTGCTCATCAGTAACGCTAATTCAAATACATACATATGCAAGACATTTTCATTTCACACGATTCTATCCGCGATGACTAAGTGCCGTATTAATAAGTCAAATACGATGCGGATTGCAAACCATAGATCCGCGCAATCTGTAGCATTCGAATCTGGGAACACCAGGCGGCTTAGACCCATACATCTACGCTGCCAATCAATTGCTGTCGATGGCTGCTGTATCGACAGTTTTGCGATATATGCGTTATCGCGGCAGTTTCGGATAAATCACCAGATATTAAATAAAAATGCTCCAGTTGTAAACAAAGATTGGCGACTTTTGCCGGACATGGAGGTAACTTTTTTCCCCGTATAAAACTATTCGAGTATTTCTATATCGAGACTACGAAATAGACTTTGATCTCCACTTTGGAGAGAATAACGCGATAGTACTCTGCGCTCTGAATGTAATTTATATCGTGTCCTGATAAACTTTCGTCTACCACAGATCAATTGACACCATAACCTCTCGTTGGCACCACGTATCATCAAAATTATAAGGATCCGCGAGACGCGTAGAATTCCTGCACATGATTAGTCGGCGTTTAGATTATTTTCTACGATCGCTCCGACGGCGCGAGAGAATTGTCTCTCTGAGAATTGTCTTGGATCCAAAATAATTAGTCCTGACGCTTATTTCCTCCCAGATAGCGGAAGCGGCTCGAGCAAAAGTCTTAGGAGACGGAAGTGGATTCATACGACGGCTGAAAGCAGCACTCTCCTCGCTTTTGTGCGGCCGAGTCCTTGGCCGGAGCACGATTTCAGCGTCGTCCTGACCACGGTAACGCGTTCGTTTGCCGCAGCATCATTTTTCATCCGTCGCCTCTCATCTGAAGTCCCGACTATGATTTATCGCGCCGCCGCATCGTCGAAAAACTTGCTAATGCGTGCCGCGCAGCGGGATGAAGATGCACTGCCGTTTCCGCCGGGAGAATCCCGCAAGTATCGACAGGATATTCGCGGAGCGCGTTAGTGGAAATTAATCTCGGCCTCGGCGGCCGCCCGCGCTTTCTTCGCGTCGCAGAAGTCGGGGGGAATTTTTCAGCGAAGAATAATATTTAATCTATCGCTTCGATATTGACTCTTTACGCGGGATGATCTTGTCCCGGAGCCTTGATTATTTAACATGGAAACATGTTGAATGAGCCCCGCAGTTGAGCCGAAATGGAACTCGTTTCCCAACTGTTTCGACAAAGACGAAATACCCGGCTTCTCATGGGCGCGTCTATAGTTTAAGAAATTAAAGACCCGTGGGAAATTTTCTATTCAACCGAGACTTTTCATCGGCCGCTTTACGTCACGTCCCGAGAACAGAATGTTTCTTTCTCTGATGCAGTTTGACATTTCGCAGACGTTCGAATAATTCAAGCACAAAGTCGCGAGCGCGCGAAACAACAACGCGAGAGGTGTGCGCGATGTCAAACGCACGGTTTTTCGAAAACAGTGTGGAAAAGTGGAAGGCGACTCACCGATCGGACGTTGTTGCCTGCCAGAATTTCCGACGGTCATCGCACTTCTCGTTGAAGAAATCGATACGACCGCTCTGTCTGCAATGCAAAACGTGTCAGGATTGAAATACGTATTAAGACATATTAAGACGTATTGAGACGTAATTCACGATCGCGTTTGTCAGACACGTTATTTGATCGCCGTTCGATTAGAAAGCCAAGGACTTCAACTGCGTTCTGCAGCGAACTCCAGCACGTGTTGCGCCGAAAGTTAACGCCGTTTAGCGCTCCGATAAAATCTCAATTATAGTTCCCGACGTATCGCCTAAGAGGTCGATATCTACGACTAATATCGTACATACGTACGTAACACACACATACATGTACATATAACCGTGTAACATTAATCCATTTTATGCGATACGAAGAAAGTTTCGCCGACAGATTCGGAAAATGTCTTATTCGCGACACGAGAAGCCTCTTTATAACCGTAGTTCATCGTTTCCAGCATAGAAGAAACCGAAAAAAGTTCGTTTAAAAGGCAGGGTCAGTCATGTGATCGATTTAGACATCTATGAGAAACAGCGGGGGAGAAGTCACGTTATAACCGTATCGATATCGTTATATGATTTTTTCAAGCGCATCAATTCAGCCGTATGATACATTTTAAGTAGCGTTCGAGTATCGCTCAAATCGAGGGATTTTCAAGACGTGTCTCCAAGTGATAAATTTGCCGGAATCTTCAAAAATTACGTATATATGTTACAACCAAACTCGGAATCGACCATTTGGCAAATTGGCTGAGCTTTATGCACTTTAGCCGATTCTGTCGATCACGTCGGAAAGTTTCAATGAGGAGAGTGATCATTTCGCATCCCGGCTAGGTTATATCGCATACTGCTTACGAACGCACGGCCATCAGGTGCGTTCGTCAAGCAACACATAATGTAAATAATTACAGGTGTCATAATGTCTCAGGAAGAGAGAGAGAGAGAGAGAGAGAGAGAGAGAGAGAGAGGCCCTTAAATTAAAATATACAATTATAAAAAAAGGAAATTAGGGAAAAGTACACACATGCACTCTAACATGATGTGTGGAAGAGGATAAATTCTAAACTATGAAAATATTAATTTTGACTGCAGAGTGTAGCGCGACTGAGAATCTCAATTGGTGAATATCTGCCGCGAACGCGCAGAAGTCGACAGTACTCCACGTATACCGGCGTTGGCATAAAAGGGACGTAATTGTACGGCAAATAGCTGTATAAAGCAAGAGCCCGACCGGGCTATTAGTCCGGCGAGCGCGCATTGGTTAACGGCGTGCCTGCGTTACAATTTCGCGGCGGACGCGCGAGATACGATGGATCGTGGTATTTCGTGCCAGATTTAATTGAAGCGCTTACGTAAAGATACGGAGCCAAGGTTTATCTACAACGGGCCGAATATGTTTTGCAAAGGGAAACGACGCTGCCATCTCCGCCGGATAGAATCCTGTGCACGCTATCCGCGAATTATCCGAAGAGACAATTTCGCTACGTTAGAAAGCGTTATCGTCTGAAAGTCTGCGAGAGCGAGAGCGAGAGTGAGTGAGAGAGAGAGAGAGAGAGAGAGAGAGAGAGAGAGAGAGAGAGAGAGAACGGAAATCTGCTGTATGTGAAATAGCTGATAAAACAAACTTGTTCTTTTCAACGAATAGTGATCAGTCGATTGTTATAACTTGCGGTAAGTAACAAGATTACAAAACTGGGGATGAAATATGAATCAAAGTTACATAAAAGAGATTTTCGAGGAGAAGAAAATGAGGGGAAGAAAGAGAGAGAGAGAGAGAAAGAGAGATCTAAATGATCTCAACAAGATATTTGATTGTTTCATAAGGATAAATGTATGTGTGTGCGAAGCTAATTGTGAATATTAATGTGAATCGTAATCTGTGTAATTTGCATAAAAATGATATTGTTTCACAATATAAACACATTTGATATGATTTTATCCGACATGAGGAATTTGTTTTTAATCTTTTAGCGTACGTGCGTTTTCCGCTACTATTTTCCACTCAAGCAAAGTCAAATCCGATTTTCTTAACAATTTCATGAATAATTCGCACTTGTAGTTCACTAATTTGTTTTTATCACGATTCATATATTAAGTAAACACTGAACTTTTTCAATAAGAAAAAAATAACTAAGCATCTACATATTCTCGGCAAAACTGTTGTGTTAACTAAGTTTTGTCGAGAGCACGGTTTAGACTCTCAGCACCTTAATTATGCCAGATGACACGTAAGGAAAAAGGTAAAGTGGATTCATCTCGTCTTAATTGAAGTGCGCTGCGAATGCAGCCACGCGAGAGAGAATAGCATCTTTCATCGTCAGTGTATCCGCGAGGAAAATTTAAAAGTCTTCCCGCTCCTTTCTTCGCGTCCCCTTATAATTACCTCGGCGGGAGGCGTCGCTACGGTATTTCTACATTTTACATATTTTTAGTCTTTGATTATTTTTAATTCCACGGTCGCCTACGCGACAACCGTCGCGCAACAATTTCGTCGTCAGTATCTTGATTGTGTTGTTTAAAAATATCGCGACAAATTTAGAAGATATTATTGGCGCGATGTTGCATTCTCGACGAACTAATTAATGACATCGAGATCAACGAAAGGAAAGAACATTTCGTCACATGATGTTCAATCAAATCACATGTATCAATCAAATAACTCTAAATTCAGATCTCAGAATTGAGCTTTTCAATCGAATCGCGATTACGGATTTGATATCATCATAAATCGCATGATGCAGTTAAAAGAAAAACAAAACGAGGTCTGATCTTCTTAGTTCAGTTCTGAATTTGGGATTAAACGTAATTTCTCCAGTTCAACTCTCTAAATTCAGATCCGAGTACCTCGCGTGAGAAAAGTTTCGGGTCCAACGAAGTTTCGGGTCCGAATCACAACGACTGAGAATTCGCATACAATTAGCATCTCTCGCGTCTCGGGAGACGCGGCCTGCTTGTCCTTGTACAATTTTCCACACAGTCATTCTTTTCCTTTTTTCACCGAGTGGCAGTCTGGGAGAAGGGGTAGTCGCGATGGTACACGTGGTTTACGTACTCGCCTCGTCGCTGAGTTATCACCATCGGTAGCCGCCGTGTGGAAGTAATTACCGGCTCTTCTCGAGGGCGCGACGACGATTAATCGCCGGTCTGCTTATCATAATTAATTGCGGGGGGGCTATAACGAGCAGAAACGCCCGCCGAAATCCGCGGGCCGACAACACCGGGGGTTGCCGCGAAATCCCGCTCGCGCAATATTCAATAGCTCGCGCGAGGCCACGCGCGGCGCGGCGGCCCGCGGATTTATCGTCGCCCTGGCGCCGGACATTTATCCGGGATGGGTGGCGTTTTAACGGGCTCGATATTTAACGGGCGTCGCCAATAATATTTCTCCGCCGCCGCTCGTCGTCGGTGGAGCGAGCGGCCGTTTGGCCGGCGGCGGCCGTTTTTCGTGCCCTGAAAAAAGAGGGGCGTCGCGCGGCAAGAGGCAAGGGAATCGCTCCCACAGGGCAGATCATCTACCGATAAACCACGTTAATAACGATAATCAGCTCGTAAGGAGGGGTGAGACGACGGCGATAATACAGAGAGCGACCGGGCTTTATTATCTCATGGTTTTTTCACGATAGACGGAAGTAGGGAGCGGTCGTTCTCCACGCGTTCACGTAACGTTAATATTAACGTTAACTAGCCAGTTTCACGGCTAGCATAAAAAGCTAGCATAATCGAAGCGTCAGTTTTCGGAGAACAATGGTAATAAAACATGAAATGTAGAGACTAATGTAGTTTCGTAAAGTCTACTGTGAAAGTTTCCACGAAGAGCTATGAAGACATGTGCGTGTTTATTGATTCCCGCGAAGTTACGAGTCTGTAAAGAAGCATTTCTCATAAAAGAAGGAAGAAATTGTATATGCAACTTACAAGATGCAACTTTTAATTTGCGATGTCATTAATTTCCAAGTATAAGATATCGCTCGCTGTCAAAGGGAGAGCACGATAAGCGGAGAACTCGCTTGAGAACTTGTTTCGATATACTTCGAAATTAAGATATATCGATCATATTAGTGTCGCTTGATTAAAATCCGCAAGCAGATACCTCCCACATCTTTACGAAAAGATGGTGTCGAATCGCGAATTCCCGCAAATTCGCGCGAATTGAACTTGACTGAATTTTCACAGGATATTATTTGAATATAAAAATACAACGCCGATGCTGTTGTGCTCGGGAAAAAACAAGAAACATGTGCACATGGCAAAGTTATTTCTGAAGACATGTCTCGAAAAGCTCACTTTACACGCGAGTTTTCTACCTTCATAATGCACGTCGTGTTCCACTGTGTGTATATATGTGCGCCGTCTATTTCACGTCGAATCGCGGAGTCGTCTACAAGATCACGAGGAATCGCGCGCGGCAACCGTATCTCGTCGTCACCAGCGAGAACTTTCTCTCCCGGACAGTGTTATTACGTCGCATGACGATATCATGATCGCACGCTTCATCGGGAACATTGACATTTACAATAATTGAAATCCTATCCGATGACGTTTGCAATAATTGAAAGCAGTTGCTTCTCGAGCGACGACGACGACGACGACGACGACGACGACGACGACGACGACGACGATGACGACGACGACGACGACGACCGTGACGACGGACAACTGCACACAATCGGTCTTTACGAAGATTTCTATTAAAGTTCCGGCAATCCCGGAGTTAGAGGAGTTAGGATCGTGTATTTCTCGCTGTTACCAATACGCGCGAGCGCGTATCGTGGACGAACGATATTTCGCCAGCGCGACGCACCGCGGGGAAAATACACGAAAGAGAGGCAGGGGTGACATTCCGCTCGCGCGATAATGTTTGTATGAACTAAAAGAGTTTTCGGAAGATTACGCGAGTTACGTTGCGAGCGGTGTCGCCGGCGTATACGCCGTCAGAACACGTGACGTCCTGGAACTGGAGAGAGAATCGAGGTGAAATCGCGCGCAAGGGTCATGTGCGCTTAACTGTGCGCTTCGCGTGCACATTTATTGAGAGAGAGAGAGAGAGAG